GTGTCTACACATCTTCAAGCCACACAGGACCCATGGGTCCACCTACAGAGGGCCTGCTGGAGGAGAGAGTCTGAGGCCCAGACCGACTGGAGAGAAGGGGAGACCAGAGGGTGTGAGTTTCCCCTTACCCAGGGCACAGGAGCCTGGCTGTCCTGCCCCAGCCTTCCTCGGGGTGTCTTGGCTCTGCTATGAGCGGCATGACGCAGGCCCGTGGGTCACAGGCTGGACAGCTCCACTCTGTGGACTCACGTCATTGATGTTGCGACACTTCCCTTGTTTCCACGGAATAAAATCCAGCCTGAGCCCTGGTTCCCCCTGGGGTTCATCCAGTCTCTCTCCAGCGGGTGATTGAAGGCTGTGGGTAGGGTTTTCAACCTGTGGTGCTCTTGGCATGGTGCCCGAGCCTCTCCCTTTGGTCCTGCTGCGTCTCGGTGACTCCCGGTGACCCCCTCCTGCGCTCCTGCGAGGCCTTAGCCTTTTCCCCTCCTTGTTCTCTCCGGACACCCCCTGTCCCAGGCAAAGCCCAGCTTCTCTGGGTCACCCCAGCTTTATTTCTTGTAGGACAGGTAGATCAGTTTATTTTTAACAGAAGGTGGGTGGTGTTCCCAGGGCCCCTGAAAAGCCAGGATGCTGTGAGCACCCAGAACGAGCCCCTCCCCACCTTCCTAGGGGTGGCAGGGGGCTGGTGTCTCCCTGCTTCCACAAGCTGACCCTCATCTCGTTATCGGAGCAAGCGGCGAGCAGGAACTTCAGAGGCAGCCTGTGAGTCCTCAGAACGCCCTCGGGGAAGCTGGCCTGCCCCACTGCACCTCGAGAAGTCTGGAGCCCTGAGCTGCCCTGCCTGCCTGTGCCACACTGCTGATGGGTAGAGCCAGGGAGCAGCCTGAACCCCAGGCCAGGCCCTCACTGAGCAGCATGGGGCTCCCAGGGACTCATCCAAGGGCTGTCACCGAGCAGAAGGCAGCCTGGGCACTGAGAGCCTCTGACAGCCTCCCCCAACTCCCTGCCCCTGTGGCTGCTGCAGGCCATGGTAAGCTCCGCTCCTGGGGAGGCGGGAGGACTCCACTTGGGTACTGTTGGAAATAGTTGCTCGGTGCTGCAAAGAAAAATCAGCCCTGAGACAAAGGCTCTTTCAGCAACGCGATTTTTACTTCCTGGACCGCAGGAAGGGCACCCTCACTAGCCATCTTGCCACGAGAGTACAAAGAACAAAGGGAAACGCACAGATTTATCCCTCACACATTTGGGGTTGTCCTTACTGCCGTGTCTAATCTCCATTGGCTGGAGCCAGACCTCACAATCTAAACTAAAACCCAATGGGCTACAACTTAAAACTTTTCTAAACAGGTAAAAGCAGTGGAGAGCTGGGACATGCCTGTGAGCACGTCCAGCACAGATACCTGGTGAAAGTACAAGGACATAGAATGTACCACATGCCTGTAAGCACGGCGTGTCTAACAGCTACATGGGATAGGGCTTCACAAAGTTACTAGTGAACTGATTCTTTAACAGGAAAGGAAACTTTAAAACTTTAAAAAGAAACTTTTCTACTTCCCACAGGTACCCCCAACATTTCCCTACTGATGCCACAGGAATTCAAATTCATGTCCCCCCCACCCTGCCCCCCATGGCACTTTGCTGCAGGTTGGGGCTTGGGAGCTCAGTGGCTGCAGGTCCTTCACTGGCCACACCTACATTGAGGTTGCAGCAGTGGGACAGGGAGGGTGCACAGACGTTTCTGGGAGGTGGGGTATGGCAATGCCATTCCATCCATGCTGCTGATGCATCCCCTGCAGCCCTGGCAGCTGAGGAAAAGTCGAGAAAGGAAAGGGTCAAACCTGGCTCTCCTGGGGGGCTGGCATACGCCAGCTGGAACTACTGAAGAGGCCCAAGGAAGCTGGCTGTGGAGAGGAGGTGGACCTGAGGGAGGACTCACCCTAGGAGGGAGGACTCACCCAGAAGGGGGGGGATTTACTTCAAGAGGGAAACTCACCCCCAGAGGGGGAACTCACCGTGAGGAGGGAGGACTCACTCAGGAGGGAGGACTTAACCTGAAGGAGGACTCACCCAGAAGAGGCAGGACTTACCCCAGGAGGGGAACTCATCCCAGGAGGGGAACTCACCCCAAGGAGGGAGGATTCACCCGAAAGAGGGAGGACTCACTACAGGTGAGAACTGGTTGGCTGGTGACAGGCCCTGGACCCAGCAGGGAGGGGCAGCTCTCCCAGCAGCTTGGTGACAAAACTGAGGACCTTTCCCAAGTGCCCAGGAGGAGTGTGTGCTTCTGTGTGTGTGTGTGTGTGTGTGTGTGTGTGTATGCACGATGGAGTGTGTGTATGTGTGCGTGTGTCTGTGAGCTGTGTGGAGGGGTGTCCGCATCGCATTAATGCCGTGTGAGTACACACCGCACCTATGTGGCTATAAGCAGAAGTGTGTGCGTGTATACACAAGTGTGCAGGCACATGTGTTTCTGTGCGCATGTGAGCTGCAGGGAAAGGTGTCTGTGGCTGAAGTGAAGGAGCCCTGGGGCTAAAAGTGTCACTGGGGCTCGGTCACCCCAAGGCTCAACCCACCTGGTGTTGGCATCTCTGGGTACTTCTCTGGGGAGGAATCATGGGAACTGGGGGGTGGGGTCCGGCTCAGATGGAGCTTCAGGGGAGGAGGGAAGCCAGGATGGCCGGCCAGGGAAGAGAGCACGGGAAGGAGGCAAGTGCGGACTCAAGGCCACTGTGGGCTCCAGGGGCCCCCAGGGGCTGGCTGTGGGGTCGCTCAGATGTCCTTGGCCTGACCCAGGCAGGGCGGGCCGTCCCTCAGGGCTGGGGTTTCATGGCGCTGAGTTAATCCTGGGAGCCCACTCTCCCTTGGGTTTGTAAGAACAAGGAAGTGGGGTCTGGGAAAGCCAGGCACCCCGTCCCCCTTGAACCCCCAGCTCTGTCCTTTGAGGAGCTGCCCCTGGGCTCCCAGGAGGGCTGGGCCATGAGGGGCGATGCTGCCCCCTGGCGGCGGGCCGGGCCCAACCCTGACAGCTTCTGCTGCAGGACTTGGCAACAAGACCCCCGGAACGGGAAGAGCAGGTGCATTCTGTGCGGAGCCTCCGGGTGAGCTGAGGGCCCCGCTGGCCCCGCTGGCCCCATCTAAGGAGGTTCCTCCACGTGCCGGGGACACTGCGACCTTTCATCCCCAGCTCCCTCTAAGGCAGGGGCCGTCAGGGCGTTTAGAGTGAGGGTCGGTTTCCCAGCCTGGTCCTGCTTGCTCTGTCCGTGGGCACCAGAATCCAGATTTGAACCCCGATCTCAAGAGTTGGCCTGACCCCACAGCCCAACTCTTCACATTGTATGGAGGGCGATGGAGGCCTCCCGGGGAACGGCCATCTCCAATGCCCAGTGCCCAGGGCTGTCCTGCCCTAAAGCACTCTCCCTGGTGGTCAGGGCCCTGGGGCATCTGGAGCCTGGGCAGAGGTCCTTGTGTGGTGGGGGCAGGGGTGCTGAGGGCACCCAGGAGAGAGCCTGGCGTCCGGGGCATCTGGGCTGAGTCCTGGCTCTCTGCTGGGTGACTGTGTTCCTCTGGCCATGGCCTTGCCGAACCCAAATGCCACAGCCTGTCTGGCAAAACTGGCACCAAGGCTGGCCAGACACTCCCGTGAGGGTCAGGCTCCCACATGCAGCCAGCCTTCATCACTGTAACAAATCCCAGGGGCACTGCTGTGTACGAGGTTGGTGGTCAACCAGATAACGGACCCCCCCCTTCCTCCCGCCACCAAAGGCATCACATCTGAATGCCCAGGACCAACGACTATGTCCCTTCCATGGGCAGAGACTCTGCCGACGTCAGGAAGAAAGGGTTCTGAGGTGATCCCAGACTGTCCTGGGGGCCCAGGGCGACCTCCAGGTTCCTGTAAGAGGGAGGCAGGAGAGAGTCTCAGAAAAGATGTGACAAGAAGCAGCAGAGGAGATAGAGGCGGGGGGGCGGGGCGTGGAGAGTGGGAGAGAGAGGGAGAGAGAGGGAGGGAGAGAGAGAGAGAGGGAGAGAGAGAGAGAGAGAGAGGGAGAGAGGGAGGGGAGAGCGAGTGGAGAGAGAGCAGAGAGAGAGGGAGGCGAGAGAGAGGAGGGAGAGAGAGGGAGGGAGAGGGAGGGAGAGACGAGAGAGGGAGAGAGGAGGGAGAGAGAAGAGAGTGAGAAGAGAGAGAGGGATGAGCGGGAGAGGGAGAGAGAGAGAGGGAGAGAAGAGAGAGGGAGAGAGCGAGGGAGAGAGAGAGGAGAGGGAGAGAGAGAGGGGATAGAGAGAGGGAGGGAGAGAGAGGGGAAGGGAGAGAGAAAGGGAGAGAGAGAGGGAGAGAGAGAGGGAGAGAGAGAGGGAGAGAGAGGGAGAGAAAGGGGAAGGGAGAGAGAGTAAGAGAGAGAGAGAGAGAGAGAGAGAGAGAGAGGAAGAGAGAGAGAGGGAAGAGAGAGAGAGGGAGAGATAGAGAGGGAGAGAGAGGGAGAGAAAGAGAGGGAGAGAGAGACAGAGGGAGGGAGAGAGAGGGAGGGAGAGAGCCTCCTTGGAAGGCAGCAAAGTCAAGGCTTGGACTGTCCCTGGGGCCTCCGGGGGAAGTGTAGCCCTGCAGACACCCTGGTTTTAGGCGGTGGCATTCTGACCTGAGAACTGTCAGGAGCAGCTGCCTGTGCGGTGTCCAGCCTGTGGGTTTGCAGGCTTAGATGGCAGCGGTCATTGGAAAGGAACACAGGTCCCACTCTAGGCAGGGATTCTGTGCCCTCTAAGGGAAAGGCCCCGTGGGACTGTTTCCAGATCCCCCCTGTCCTCCCAGTGCCTGACAGGTGGACTCCACACCTGCTCTGCCCAGACCCCAAAGCTGGGGCTAGGAGGGGAGGGGCTGGCTGGAGGCCTCTGGGTGCCCTTGGTGGGGAAGCTGAAGGAGGCCGCCTCCCAGGGGAAGGGAGGCGGCTGTGCCTGCTCCTGGAGTCCTGAGGGCTGGGCTGGGTGCTTAGGGAGAGAGCTCCCCGCTTCCCGAGCCACGCTCAGCCCTGCCCTGCCCCTCCCTGCCACAGCCCGCCAAGAGTGACCCAGCCGGAAATCACAGAACATTCTCTCCTATTTTTAAACGGTTGCTTCATTTTGTCATAGCCTGTCGAATGTTTAACTTCAGCATCAGAGGTGAAAAGGGGCCAGGAGCAGGACGCTCCCCGTCTGTCCCGCCGTCCCCACCCCCACCTCACCGGGAGCCTGGCTCGGAACACTCTTAGACCCACTTGATGGGGGTGGAGGGGGACAGTGAGGCTTGGGGCGGAAGTGACTTGGCCCCGTCACTCCCCCGCTGGCGCGGCAGGGGCTGGCTCCTGGATACAAGCCCAGGGCCCGGAAGCCATGTCCGGCTTTTCCTGGTGACACTGTGCTGCCCCCCAGAGGCGACTGCTCTTTCAGAAAGTGCTGGGTGGACCTGAGCCGCAGGGGTCCCGGGACGACCCTCCCTAGGGGTCCTGGGACGGCCATCATTCCCTGCAGCCCCTGTGGGCAGCCCTACAGCTCCAGCTGACCCCATGGGTCAATTAGGGAATAAGTTTGTGCCATGTGGAGCACAGCCGGTCACAATGTGGGGTGACAGGGAAGAGCCAGCACGCCGTCCGTGGGGCAAGGTGAAAGCCCAGGAGACTGGGAACCAGTCTGGGATTCATTTCAATGAGGGGCCTTAAACATGCAGCAATGAGTGCTTTGTTCAGTGAGTACACTGAGTCCTGTTATGTTCCAAGGACGACTCAGACAACTTCCGGGGAGCGTCCTGGGGTCCATCCCTCAGTCCGGTCTCTTACACCGCCTCCACCTTCCTTCAACTTCTTTCCTCTTTGCCTTGGCTGCTAGGAAGCTCCCAGCCAGTCTGTGTAAGTGAGGTTCAAAGCCTTGCCCCTTGGGCCATGGAGGATGCCCTCCCTTCCCTGTTCTGCTTCGACCTTCTGTGTCCAGCTTCCTAGCACACTGCCCGTGCCTTCTATTCAGCAGGGAACGAGGAGCAGGGAAAGGGGAAGGCATGGTTGAAAAGCAGTCCTGGGGGCAGGGGGCTTCGGGGTGGGGTCCCGAGGTGGGGGCCCCTCTCACAGGCAAGTCCTTGGCACCCGTGATTGCCCACTTGGGCCTCCCCGTACCTCCAGGAGCCGGCTCCAGAGTCCATCAAGGACACACAGATAAGATCTCTCCAGATAAGGATCCATTGACCCCGGGCATGGAAGGAGACAGCAGGGCCTGGAGCTAAACCACATCCTCCTGGCATCAGACCCACCTGGGAATAAAAATACCAGGTGCAGGTGGGTGTGGAGCCTCAGGAGAGACTTCCCAGCCTGGCACAGCCTGGCCAGGACACCTCTCAAAGGTAAGGAGGAAGAGGAAATTCCAAACCCGTCCCCACCCCGGGGTCAGCCTTGGAGTCCCCGCACCTCCAGCCGCAGCCTGACCTCCTGGGCCCTGGTTTGCTTCCTCTGTAAAGCAGAACCACAAGCCCCCACACAGGGGCTAAGAGGCTCAGGCAGGAGGTGCCTCGGAAGCTGGGGGGCTGTGCTCCCAGTGAAGGCCTGGCCTCCTCTCTCCAAGGAGTCTGCTAGACAGAGCCAGCCCACCTGAGTTGCCCAGCCCCCTCCCTGGCTGCAGCTTTCTGGGACCTAGACAAGTGGAGGGAAGACGAGCAGCTCCAGTGCTGTCCCAGAGGGCTCCTGAGCTCCGCCAAGGGGCTCTGGCTATTTCAGCCTGAGAGCCTGTGTTCCCAGCTGCTCCCTGCTTCTGGCCAGGGAGAAGCTGACGGTCACAGGGAGGGGGTCTCAGAGTTGCTGTAGGGCAGCTCTCTGGAGTGTGGGTGCCTTGTCATTCATCTCCTATCCCCATGACACCCCCTGCTCCACATAGCCATTTGGCTCTGAAGGGCTTACTTCCCGTCAGCTGGACCGGGCCCCAGATCCAAGAAGGAGCCCAGACCTGAGTCCCAGCCACACCTGCCATGTTCCCACTCAGGTGGGAGATCATCAAAACTGGGGTCCCTGGGGTTGGCCCCAAAGAGTCCCATTCGGCAGGGGTGGGTGGGGCAGTGCTGCGGGGCTTTAGGGAGGTGGGATTCCAGGAGGCTCCTGCCTTCTCTGCCTGGCCCAGTACCTGGGCACTTGGGGCCTTGAGCCATTCCCATCTGCCTGGTTCGTGGACGCTGCTGCTGGCTGTCCCACAGCCTCTGGGGAGTCCCTGCTCCAGAGATGGGGCGCTCGGGGCCCCTGGAGTCCCAAAGAATCCTGTGAGGTGCCCAGTGAGTGAGTGGCCTTGGGGTGCCTGTGTGGGAGCAACTGACAGCAACTGACCCACAATTCAGGCACTGCAATGGGGCCTGGGATGTGGGTTCCAGCCCGGCTCCTGGCAAGTGTCCCCCAGGTGCAGGCCCCCCAGGTGCAGTGCCCCTCAGGTGTAGGTCCCCCAGGTGCAGGCCCCTCAGGTACAGTGGCCCCCAGGTGCAGGCCCCTCCAGGTACAGGCCCACCCAGATGCAGTGCCCCCCAGATGCAGGCCCCCCCAGGTGCAGGGCGCCCCAGGTTCAGACCCCCCCAGGTGCAGGCCTCCCCAGGTGCAGTGCCCCTCAGGTGCAGGTCCCTCTAGATGCAGGCTCCCCAAGGTGCAGGCCCCCCAGGTGCAGTGCCCCTCAGGTGCAGGTCCCTTTAGATGCAGTGCCCCCTAGGTGCAGGCTCCCCCAGGTGCAGGGTCCTCCAGGTGCAGGCCCCCCAGGTGCAGTGCCCCTCAGGTGCAGGTCCCTCTAGATGCAGTGCCCCCTAGGTGCAGGCTCCCCCAGGTGTAGTGCCCCCTAGGTGCAGGTCCCCTCAGGTGCAGGGTTCTCCAGGTACAGGACCCCCAGGTGCAGTGCCCCTCAGGTGCAGGTCCCTCTAGATGCAGTGCCCCTCAGGTGCAGGCCCCCCAGGTGCAGGCCCCCCCAGGTGCAGAGTCCTCCAGGTGCAGTGCCCCTCAGGTGCAGGCCCCCCAGGTGCAGGCCCTCCCAGGTGCAGGCCCCCCAGGTGCAGAGTCCACCAGGTGCAGGCCCCCCCAGGTGCAGGCCCCCCAGGTGCAGAGTCCTCCAGGTGCAGTGCCCCTCAGGTGCAGAGTCCTCCAGGTGCAGGCCCCCCAGGTGCAGAGTCCTCCAGGTGCAGTGCCCCCCAGGTGCAGGCCCCCCCAGGTGCAGAGTCCTCCAGGTGCAGTGCCCCTCAGGTGCAGGCCCCCCAGGTGCAGGCCCTCCCAGGTGCAGAGTCCTCCAGGTGCAGTGCCCCTCAGGTGCAGGCCCCCCAGGTGCAGGCCCTCCCAGGTGCAGAGTCCTCCAGGTGCAGTGCCCCTCAGGTGCAGGCCCCCCAGGTGCAGGCCCTCCCAGGTGCAGGCCCCCCAGGTGCAGAGTCCTCCAGGTGCAGGCCCCCCAGGTGCAGGCCCCCCAGGTGCAGAGTCCTCCAGGTGCAGTGCCCCTCAGGTGCAGAGTCCTCCAGGTGCAGGCCCCCCAGGTGCAGAGTCCTCCAGGTGCAGTGCCCCTCAGGTGCAGAGTCCTCCAGGTGCAGGCCCCCCAGGTGCAGAGTCCTCCAGGTGCAGTGCCCCTCAGGTGCAGAGTCCTCCAGGTGCAGGCCCCCCAGGTGCAGAGTCCTCCAGGTGCAGTGCCCCTCAGGTGCAGAGTACTCCAGGTGCAGGCCTCCACAGGTGCAGTGTCCTCCAGGTGCAGTGCCCCTCAGGTGGAGGCTCCCCCAGGTGCACGGTCCCCCAGGTGCAGACTCCTCCAGGTGCAGAAGCTCTGTGAGCCTGTTTCCTCGTTCGTCCGTAGCATGGGGATGGGAAAGCCTGGTGTGGATCTCCTCACAGGAAACCCGAGGCTGGGGTGGAGTCCCAGAGACATGCTGGGTTTCTTAGAGGGGTCTCTCCCTTTCTAGCCCTGAGATGCAGGTTCTGGGATCTCACCCTGGAAGGTGTGACTTGGGGCCTCCATGGGGGCAGGAGCAGCACCCAGCTGGCAGCCAGATGACCAGTGGCCACCCGCTCCCTGCAGCCCTTTGAACCCACCAGCTGAAGGGGCTACATAGCGAGGGCCCTGGTGTTTGTCATCACTAAGGGAAGGGAGCAGTCGCCTCCTCCCAGGGCCTAAATTCAAGGTCTGTGAACTCAGGAGCTGAGACAGAAGCAGGTCCTACCACGTGGCACATGGGAGTGAGTGCCCCATAGTGTGGGCAGCAGAGGGCAGTGTCACACCATCTCCTCGCTCCTCACCCAGCCCTGCCAGAGGCCAGAGTGTGCTTGGGGTCACAGGGCTGGCAAGGGCCGCATCTGGCCTCCTAACGCTGTAGCCGCCTCCTCTGGGATTGCCCCGGCCTCGGCTGCCATCACAGGAGGCGGGAGCTGCTCCCCAGCACAGCGCGGCACTGCCCGGCCCCAGAGTCCACACTGGCTCCTCCGTGCGCCTTGGTGCCACCGAGTCCCTCCACGCACAAATCCATTTAGACACCACATCAGGCCCTCCCTCAGCTGCCCAACCAGCTTGTGCTCCGGCCTGGGCCCAGGACAGGGCTGTCTCCACCTCTGTCCCTGCCCTGGGCTCACAGCTCTGGAGAAACAGGACACGCTTAATGGAGACCGCCAGGGTGGACTTGAGAGTCTTGGGGGCTGTGGCCCTGGAATGCCAGCTGGCTTTGGCTCTGGGCCAGGCCAGGGCCCAAGTCATGTGGACACCAGGGCAAGTGCCCCACACCCCACCCGGGCCCTCATTCCGGTCAGGGAAACGTGCCATCTCTGGGCAGTATGTGGCATCTCTGGCTGGCTCTCCCTCATTGGACATGTATTGAGTGCCAATTGTGTGCCATAATCAGGGGGAGAGGGAAGGGCCAGAGTGGGTGCCTAATGGTGTCCTGGGGGCCATCAGGGCCAGAACAGGAAGGGCACACGTGGCGGCAGCTTCCCCCGCTTGGGTCCGCCCATCTACCTGCCCGCTGGCAGACCCCGCCTGTGTGTCCTCAAGAACCTGCCGCTGTCACCACACCTGCTCCGCCGGCTTCGTGGGCCACCGCACCCAAGGCCTGCCCGTCCCTGTTCCTTATGGAACCCTCCTGCTTGCTGTCATCACCACACGTGTTCCTTCAGTACCTCGTGAGTTGTCTGCTTTGGTCTCTGTGGCGCCGCAGAAGAAGACACTGCCCTCGCCGCCCCCACCCCATTTCACTGGAGCCATCAAACTGTGCCTCTGCCTGGCCTTCTCCTGCAGGAACCCCAGGTGGGCCATGGGGCTCTTGTCCTGGGTGCACCCCCTGCTTGGCCCCCCGGCCTGGCTCAGAGCCAAAACCAGCTTCTCACCATCCCTGCTCCCAGCCCTGGGTCCAGGCGCCAGCAGCTCCCCTGGGGCTCACACTGGCTTCCCCGTCAGCTTCCCTGGGGCAGACTCGTCCTCCCACTATGGTCAAAGTGAGTCCTGTGAGGTGCAGTGCCTCAGCTCCCGAGTGAAGCCCACCCTTCCCGCTCCGACCCAGCACTCCGCTCTGCCCTGCCCTCTGGGGCTGCTGCAGCCCCTGCCACCTCCTGCCCCCCGCCCCCCGTCAGGAGGAGAGAGTCAGGGGTCTCCAGGCCACTGGCCCTGCCTGAGTCTGGTGTGACCTTCTCCTCGTTGGCCTCCTCAGCACTGCCCAGTGGGTGGTGATGTCCGTCCTTCTGGGCCTGCTTCCTCTGGCTCCTCTCCCAGGCACTGTCTGGGGAAGGGGCTGCTTTCAGATCTGGGGAGAACCCCTCACGACCCTGTGTGGCCCTGATGCAGATACTCAGTGCCGCCAAGCTCAGAGCCGGGCTCTGCCTGGAGCCTGTGGGGCCCCGGTTCACCCAGCATATGCTGCTCTGACCTCTCAGGGGAAGAGAAGGAGTGGCCCCTGGTGGCTTCTGCTGGTGGAGGGAAGGGCAGGCCTGGGAGGGAGGCCCGGGGTCCCATGTGAACGTGCATGGCATGTCAGCATTCCTGACCGAGGGGTCTTGTGGCATCCTGGGGACGGGACTCGTATATGGCCCTGTCCTTGTCACATCTGCTGCCCCAAGGTCATTTTCAGGAGGTGCCTGCCCCACAGACCTTCTGTCCAGGAGAAGGAATAAGTGGCATCCCCAAGCTCATGCTTTTGACCCCACGAAAGCCAGGACTGGCAGGAGGACCTTTGCCGAGGACGGGGACCCACTCTCCTGACCCACTCAGTGACAGTGGAGGGGCCAGAGAGGTAAAGGACCCTGTCGGGAGGGAGACAGTGGCAGGGAGGAGCCCTAACAGAAGGGCTGTGGCCCCTGGGGACCAAGCGGAAGCTCTTGGCTGGGCCACCCTGCCTGGCCACAGTGTGTGGGTGAGGGGAGAGCCTCCTTGGGAGGGACTGTAGGGAGCCTTGGCCTCATCCTGGGGCCAGGGCATGTGGGGGGGCACTGACTCTCCCGAAACCTCACTGGATCTCCCTCCAGGCTTCGACAGCCCTGGTTGGCGCCAGGAGGAGCCCAGATGTGGGGATCCACTCCCAGGATCAGCTTCCCAGGCCCTGGCTGCTCCAGGAAGTGTTTCCTCAGTGTTCACAGCCATGGCTGGCCAGGCCCTTCTGCCAGTCCTGCGTCCCAGCCCTGTCTGGCTGGAGGGGAAGCAGAGCAGGCCACCTGCAGTGCACATCTGTGCGCCCCAGGTCCCTTCCAGGAAGCTGTGCACGCTGGCTCAGGGAAGGGGCTCGTGGTGGGTGGGCGCCCACTGAGGGCTGACCACACGTGTTGTGGGAGGGACAGGAGGAGGGCCAGCCAGTCACCCCACAGACTGCCTTCCGGGAGGGGGCTGGGGTCACCCAGCAGCCGCCTCTGCTCCCAGACAAAACCCCTTTCACTATTCACCGAGCACCTCCCCCCATCCAGGTGCAATGCTGGACAACTGCACCAGTCCATGTCTGTCACTGACCAGATATGGGCCATGTCCTCATCTCTCGTGCCTCAGTTTCCTCCTCTGTTCTATGGGGGTAGCGCTGCCATATCCCTCCCTCCTGGAAGGGCACTGACAAGGGAGCTGGGGTTCAGGAGTCTGTCATGGTGACACAGGGAGGAGCTGGTGTCCAACAGCATGCATGTCCATCTTTTGTGACAATTACCTGTGCCACTGCAGTTCAGAGGCTTGGCCCTGTGCACACAGTAAGTGCTTACTAATTAGTACTGTTATTCAGGGTGGGCCACGAGCGCTTTGGAACACTCATTCTGGGTCAGCCTTCCTCCGGGGGCACTGCCGTGGTTCCCTCTCTGCCACTTCCCCACCACTTCTGGGGCTAAGCCTATTTTCCAGATGAAGAAGTGGACGCCTGGGGAGATGAAGGGACCTGCCCGGGGCTAAGGGATTCCAAAGTCCAGGCCACCCCCCGCCTCACCCGAACCAGCTGTGGCCACATCAGAGCT